GAGACACCCATTACTGGCATTGTGTGAGTGACAGCATTTGCTTCTTACCCACATCGCATTTGCCACCCGGACAGAGCAGAGCCAGGGAGATATGGCTGCTGACTTCTGGTCACAGTGGGATGGCCTGTGGGGGAACCATGGCATGGCAAGGGCTCCCCCTTTTCTTCTACCAGACAACACTAGTGTGAACACACTCCTAGGAGCAGTCTGACTGAAGAAGACAGCTTCTAGGTCAGTGACTCTGGCCACAGTTCCCCAGTGACAGACGTGAGTGGTTTGGATCCGAGACACACTGAGAATAATGACTGCTTCAGTAAAGAAACCAATAGGTGGCCAGGAAGTAGCTCAATTACAGGCTGCATGTTATTGGCTCCAGGGGCCATGGGTTGGAGTGGAAACCATCGATTTCTCTTCAAGCTGACAGAGGAGGCACATTAACTCAGGAGTCTCTGCAAAGGGTGCTGTGGCTAACACCCTGCACAGCCGCCTCTTTCGGGCATGGGGATCTTCTTTGGGGGGTTCCTTCTCTTATAAGCTGGTGGGGTGAAGCCGAAGTCACATGCATGTGAAGTACTGGTGTGTGCATCCTCAGGAGGTCCAGGCTGGACTTTCTGATGAGGTGAATGTACTGTGAGTTCCCATATGGAGGGAACTCTGGGAAAGAGCCACTGTGGCAACTTTAAATGTGATCTAGGCCAACTTAGAGAGGGGAAAGACTCAAGAGCAGCCATGGACCTTTCTTTTGTTCTGGGTCCCGTGTTACCTGAGACTCTTCTTGGAGACATGTTCAACTTTAGGTTGGGAGGGCCTCTGGTCCTGTGTAATAGGCACATTTGACCACATTGCTTCCTGATCAAAACTCAGTGGTTCCCCTGAGTCTTCGGGGAAAAAAGGCTGTTAACATTAATATTAAAAGCCCTTTGGGGTCTGTCCTCCAACTGGGGCTCTCTCTTGCTTGTCCTAGTCATAGGAAGTCCCAGCGAGGGCAGCTCCTTTCTGCAGCCCTTCCAACAGGTGTTTGTGAAGTCTTGCCCCTCCCTGTGTGCTGGGGATAGCATCTTTGCCCTGGGCCCCAGTATGGAGCTTTTGTGGCACTCAGTAAGCAGAGAAATGCAAAAATGATGACTGGCAAGCTCAGTGCCTCTGACAGAAGCCGTCGCTCTCTGTAGAATGCAGGCGGCTCCTTGCTTGCCTCCGGGGGAGAGGGGAACATTGACTTTCTGATCAAATATTATTCTGATGCGCAAGGCATCTTTGATGTTTGCAAGTCAGAAAAGTTTAATTACATGTGTCATTAGGATGGCATTCTCTAATAGCTCTGCGACTGAATTCATTAACAGAGTTCTTAACAGATAAGACAAGACAAATTAATATTTTGTTGCCCATGAAAGCGTCTCATTAAGAGAGTAGAGAAAAAGTGATTAATATTTTCTTGCCAATCAAGATGTCTCATACAAATGACAAAGAAAGGAGACCCACACCTTCTGTGTTTTCTAATCTCCTGGCCTGGGATTTGGAAGGCTGATCCTCTTCTCTGGTTGGAAGCCATGTTTGGGTACCAGGCATTAATTACAACTCCGCTGATTATATTTCAGTGCTCATGGTGGTGTGGTGAGGGGTGCTGAGATGGCCAATAGGCTCTGGAAATACCCGGAATCTCAGATCTTTGCTCCTCCTGGGCTGTTCTCCTCTGACCTCATTAATGGCCTGGGCCATCAGAGGACCCGGCTGTTGCTCTCTTTGGACTGACTTACTCCTAGAAGTGCCCTCCTCGATGTTCTGGGAGGGACTGGGGATGTTGCTGCAAACCTTCTGGGTGTCCCACACTGAGCTGGTGTTTCCCACACATGGTCAACTTAATATTAATGATGGTAGATGTTAAGTCTCAAACCCCGGGACAAATGGCTGAAGAACATACTTGACATAACAAAGTGGACATCCCTCAGTCCCTAACTGTTATAGGGTCCTCCTGGTTGGCGTACCCTGCCCCCTATCCTAAATTTCTCCAGCTCAGGGGCTGGGCATCTCTTCCCTCAGCTGCCCTTCCCTATGTAATCCAACCATTTTTTTGTTACCTGGTCTCTTTGGGCCTCTTGGCTGCTGCTCCCCTCTTCCTCACCCCTCTTCACATGGTTCAGGGGCATGACCACGCTGGACTCTCCCAGATGTCTCTGCCTCTGGCTATGTTTTCCCTTTTATCTACAATAAACTTCCTCCTTTACTATACCTAGGAACAGTCATGTCCTTTACATTTTATTGTTTTCATTCAGTAATAATAATAATGAATAATGATAATGATGACAATGGCACCACTAGAATAGTCTATGTCAAGAATGTTGCATGCATCTCTTCACTGTATGTCTATAAGGCAAGTACTCTCTGTCATTTATCCCATTTCATAGATGAGGAAAATTGAGACTTATAAAGGTCAAGGCCCTTTCCAAGGTTACTGAACTAAGTGGTAGAGCTGAGACTTGAACCTAGGCCCCTGTGAACCCACAGCTTATGTTCTCCATTAGCAGGTGGTGCTCCCTCTCCCTGATGTGGAGGAGGCAGGCAAGGACATGCATTGTGTGTTTGCATGCAGTGAGGACCCTTGTGGAGCAGGTGCTGCCCTGCAGCCATGTCTGGGGCTTCTGAGAAGCACTGACCCCAGCTGTTTGCAGGCTCCCAACTCAACCATGAGCAAGTGTTTCCAGGGAGGTAACGAGGGACCATTAATCTCTGGTTGCACCCACAATTATCCAAATTGCTAACCTGATTTGAAAAGGAGAAATGCAATTGAGTTGGTGCTGGAGGCATGTTTGAGTAATTTAATTAACCTAGGCAAGTGCACTAAGGAGAGTTTGCCTCTGCTTTTATTTCTGATGTGTTTAAGTGGAGCACCAAGTAATCCTGGGGAGGTTAGTCAGTCACCAGTGGCCCTACCTAGTAAGGAACCAATCACAGTGGCCCAAGGTGTTTGCAAATGGATGCCAATTATGAGAGGCTCTGTGTACACAAGCCCACATACCCAACTCACACACATGCACATGTATACATGCTCACATTCAACACATACATACATCTGACACCCCCACATATGCACACATGTACATACATAAATGTACACATACACATACTTAGCTCTCTCTCTCTCTCTCTCTCTCTCTCTCTCTCTCTCTCTCTCAGGATGAACTTTTTTGCCATGGTCTCTGGCAAGGCCTAGCCATCTCAGGTCTGGAGGATGAAGGGCCTACTCAAGAGGTGTGTCTCAGGCACACACCAGGGCATTCACTGACATTCAGAGGTGGATGGAGAGGGTACTAGCTGTCCACACCAAGGAGGAATCTCAGGGAAACGACCCTGCCTGGTGTGACAAGAGGGTTGAAGACATTTCTCAGCCAGATCTGCCAGGTTAGATGCTGCACAGTGGTCACCTTTTCTAGCTGGTTCCCTTATGATCTGCAGGCTCCACCCAAAGGGTCCTAGAGTCTTGAATCTCAACTCTAATGGTGCCTATTCTGGGGGCTGGATCACTTAAACCATGATAGTCTCAGCCCTGGAAGCAGCTCAGGTCTTGGGTTAAGGTGCCATCTTGAGGCTGTTAGGACTGCTGTCTGGTCCCTGTTTGTGCTTGCACATCCCTAGGGATGGGAGGCTCAATCTACCATGAGGCAGGCTTGGTGGCAACAGTGGTGTCCCATCTAAGGATCACAGATTGGTCTCCTTTGTGGTCACATGGTTCAGCTCATCTCCTTCCACCCCAGCCCCTATTCCACCTCTTATAGATGGCCAGAATCTGACCATTCATCCTATGAATCTTCTTCTCTGATGCAAGCATCCCTTTGTGGACCTACTGTTCTGCCTGGAGTCAAGCAGACAAGGGCAGTCTCCTCTGCTTGAATACTCTACTTTTATTTCAGCCCAAGAACCATAGCTGCAACATGGGTGGCATTGCTGACTTCTCTCATGAAATGTTTGGGCAGCTGCCTTTGCCAAAGCTAGACCAATTGATATAGTCGAATCACTCCATGCCTTCTTGAAGTTCAGTGGAAGGGAGGGTCTGCCCAGGTCACTTTTTTAGAGATGAATTTACCAGGGACCAGCCAGCAAAGGGATTACTCCAAGTCCCAAAGCTGGTATAGAAGCAGCTATCAGGTTCCTCAGGGTCCAGAAGTGTCCCCTGTTGGTCACATCAGGCTGTACGAATCCACTCACCTACTGTCTTCTGATGTGTGTGTGTGTGTGTGTGTGTGTATGTGGTGTTGGGTGTATGAGTTTGTGTGTACAGAAGCTCTCATGGTTGACATCAGTTTGTAAATGCTCTTTGGACACTCTGATTGGTTCCATGCTAAGCTAGGGCCGCTTGTGACTGAATAACCTCCATGTCCATCTGTGGAAGGAGGTGGCTTGAAATTCTTTGAATCTGCATCTCCTTATCCCCAAAAGAAGGTCCTTAAAGCAAGTCTCCTCTGGCCTTACTTGGCCCCCTTCTGCCTCCTCACCTGTCATTTACCCTCCATCTGACAAGCCACCTTGCTCGTTTTGCCATCTACAGGGACAACCCGTCTGCCCATATTATCCCCAGCTATAGAGCTGGACTCCCTTCCTTGTAGCTCCTGGATAGCTTTTCTCTCTGGCTCTGAAGCCTTCTGCCTGGCTATGCTCTCTGGCAGCTTGAGGCTCATCCCTGTAAGGGATGAGACTGGGCTCACACAGCCTGTTCCTCTCCAGATCCCAGGCTTAGGGCCTGCATTAGGCCTTTGCTAAAACAAGACCCAGGCCAGGTGCCACCTGCCCTGGCCATGTGCCTGCCGATTGGCAACCCCTCTCCTTTGACTGGATATAACTATCAGGTTGATGACTGTCATCCATCTTTCCCTCTGTACATGCAGGGACTTGGATGCAGGCTGAGCATGGACCTGTTAAATGGAAACTCTCTGCCACATGGTGTCCTGCACATTGGCATTCCCAGGACATCCCTTGCACTCACTCAGAATGAGTGCTGGGTGACTTACATTGATGTCTTCCAGGCCCAGGAAGCTCAGAGTGAGCCCATTGCGCTTCCAGATGACTGGTGGCCTCAGGTCTCCACGAATAGCGCAGGTCAGCACTGTGCTCAGCCCCACAGTCACTGTGGTCACACTGACCTTGTCCTCAGGGGCAAGGCTCAGCTGTATCACCTCTGTAGAGGGAGATGAGAGAGCAGTCAGAAGCAGACACAGGGGCCAGATCTCAACTCAAGGTGAACAGTCATGGATTCACTCAAGGGCAGGGCCCCCAGAAATGTTTTATAGTGTGCCAACCTTTGCTAGATGATGAGTTACAATGATGTTGAATGTCTGAAAGGCTCTCCAAGTCAAAACCTCAGGAGCCTTAGCTAAGGTGAGGGGAAACATCTGGGCCTTGGGTCTGTGAGTGGAGTTAAGAACACTAGTTGTGCTACTCGGCCCCTGAGGACCAAGCAACCCCGATTCTGCTGAGATCACTGGGCTACTCCTGCCCCCACTCAGGGCAGAGGTGAGCTGCTTCGGCCCCTGTCTTGAGCCCAACTTCTGTTTGACCACTCTGGGAACTCTCGTCCTGGGGTGTGCAGGCAGGTTGACTTGGCCCCTGAGGACCAAGCAACCCAGAGTCTGCTGACATCGCTGTGCTAGTCCTGCTCTCACCCACTTGGAGAGGCAGTGCCTCAGACCCACCTGCACCCACCTTGAGACCCATCAGACTATTGGACCCTCTTGTACCCACTGGAAGAGAACCTTGGACCCATACGCACCAGGAAAGGAAGAGACACCACCACCTGCACCCACTGGAAAAAGAGATGGGAAGATGACAATATAAGAACATATCCAACAACAGAAAAAACAATATGATGCCACCAGAGTCTAGAGACTCTATGCCAGCAAGACCTGAACATCCCAGCACAGATGAAGCAGAAGAGAGCATCCTTAAAAACCACTTCATGCAGATGATAGAGACCCTAAGAGAGGGAATGAGAAAATCCTTCAGAGAATTGGAAGAAAAGACAAACCAAAAGATGCAAGAATTCCACAGATCTTTTAAGGAAACCCAAGAAAATACAATCAAACAGCTGAAGGAAACAATTCAGACAGTTCAATACCTGAAAACTGAAATAGAGACAATAAAGAAAACACAAACTGAGGGAATGCTGGAAGAGGAAAAGCTGAGTAAACAATCAGGAACCACAGATGCAAGCATAACTAACAGAATATAAGAGATGGAAAACAGAATCTTAGAAGCTGAAGATAAACTAGAGGAAATAGATTCATCAAGCAAAGAAAATCCTAAGTCCAACAAATCCTTAACACAAAATATCCAGGAAAAGACCAAACCAAGGATAATAGGTACAGAAGAAGGTGAAGAAACCCAACTCAAAGGTACAGAAAACATATTCAACAAAAGAAGAAAACTTTCCCAACCTGAAGAAAGACATGCAATGAAAGTACAAGAAGCCTACAGAACACCAAATAGAGTAGACCACAAAAGAAAGTCCCCTCATCACATAATAATTAAAACACCAAACATACAGACTAAAGAAAGAATATTAAGAGCAGCAAAGGAAGGGGAGGGCGGGAGGGAGAAGGGAACTGGGATTGTCATGTAAAACAATCTTATTTCTAATTCAAATAAAAAAGAAAAAAAAAAATTCGAATTTAAAAAAAAATATTGAAAGTTATCAATGAACAGTGGTTTATTGTCCCAATCTGCAGGACGTCAACCTGGGGCAAGAGAGTCAGGGATAGGGAATGGGCGAGAACACTGATGCCCACCCAGACTACTATACCCAGCAAAGCTTTCAATCACTATAAATGGAGAAAACAAGATATTCCACGACAAACCAGATTTAAATAATATGTAACCACTAATCCAGCCCTACATAAAGTACTGGAAGGAAAACTCCAACCTACCACACTCACAAAAACACAGGCAATAGATAATCCCACTTTACCAAAACCCAATAGAAAAAATGGGGTAAATCTACATGCAATACTACTACCAATAACAAATCAAAAACAAACAAGAATAAACACTCAATTGTCCTTAATTTCCCTCGATATTAATGGTCTTAACTCTCCTATAAAAAGACACAGGCTAACAGAGTGGATATGAAGACAGAATCCATCCTTCTTCTGCATACAAGAAACACACCTCAAATTCAAAGACAGAGTAAAGGGTTGGGATAAGATATTCCAATCAAATGGACCCCCAAAACAAGCTGGGGTAGCTATCCCAGTATCTATTAAGTTAGACTTCAAACTAAAATCAATCAAAAGAGATGAAGAAGGTCATTTCATATTCATCACAGAAAAAAATCCACCAGGAAGAAGTCTCAATTCTAAACATCTATGACCCAAATACAAAGGCACCAATGTTTGTAAAAGAAACATTATTAAAACTCAAATCACAAATAAGACCTCACACAGTTATAGTGGGAGACTTCAACACCCCATTCTCACCACTGGACAGGATCACCAGACAGAAACCTTACAAAGAGACAAAGGAACTAACAGAAGTTATGACCCAATTGGGATTAACAGACATCTATAGAACATTCCATCCAAACACAAAAGAATATACCTTCTTTTCAGCATCACATGGAACCTTCTCTAAAATCAACCACATACTCAGCAACGTAGCAAACCTCAACAGGTACAAAAAATTGGAATAATCCTCTGTGTCTTATCAGACCACCATGCTTTAAAATTAGAATTCAAAAACAACATAAACTGCAGAAAACCTACCAATTCATGGGAATTGAACAACATGCAATTGCACCATTCCTGGGTCAACGAAGAAATAAAGAAAGAAATTAAAGACTTCTTAGAATTCAGTGAAAATGAAGGTACAACATACCCAAACTAATGAAAAACTTTGAAAGCAGTACTAAGAGGAAAGTTCATAGCTCTCAGTGCTCACATGAAGAAACTAGAGAATAGTCACACCAAAGAGTTGACATCACAACTGAAACCCTAGATGCCAGGAAATAATCAAACTGAGGGCAGAAATCAATAAAGTCAAAACAAAGAAAACAATTCAAAGAATCAATGTAACGAAGAGTTGGTTCTTCGAGAAAATCAACAAGATAGACAAACCTTTATCCAAACTACCAAAAGGCAGAGAGAGAACATGCACATTAACAAAGTCAAAATGAAAATGGGGACATAACAACGGACACTGAGGAAATCCAGAGAATCTTCAGGTGATATTTTGAAAACCTGTACTCCATAAAATTCGAAAATTTAAAGGAAATGGAGAATTTTCTGGACAAATATCACTTACCAAAATTGAATCAAGAACAGATAAGCAACTTAAACAGACCTATAACCCCTAAGGAAATAGAAGCAGTCATCAAAATTCTCCCAACCAAAAAAAGCCCAGGGCCAGATGGCTTCAGTGCAGAATTCTACCAGAAATTCAAAGAAGAGCTGATAACAATACTCCTCAAATTGTTCCACACAATAGACACAGAAGGTTCATTGCCAAACTCTTTTTTTATGAGGCTTCAATAACCTTGATATCCAAGGCACACAAAGACACAGCTAAGAAAGAGAACTACAGACTAATATCCCTCATGAACATTATGCAAAATACTCAATAAAATACTGGCAAACCGAATCCAAGAACACATCAGAAAAACCATCCACCATTATCAAGTAGGCTTCATCCCCGTGATGTAGGGATGGAATAAGGAGAGAATCTTCAACAAATGGTGCTGCCATAACTGGATGCTGGCATATAGAAGACTGCAGATAGATCCATGTCTATTGTCATGCACAAAACTTAAGTCCAAATGGATGAAAGATCTCAACATAAATC